GGTGGCTGCCTCGCCGACGGCCTGGCCTCCGCCCCAGGACGACCTGGAGTGCACGGGCTGGGAGCACTTCATCCTCACCCCAGAACGCCCGCCCATGGCCAGCGCACAGCCGCAGTGGCATGGCTGGAGCTTCGTCACACCCTACCCACAGCGCCTGGAGCAAGACTTCCCCATGCCAGGCCTGGTGTTTGAGGACCTGTGATTGCTGCCCACCACCTGCACATGCGAGGTGCCATTGCAAGGTTGTTATTGAGATGCTGACGCTTTATTTGTTGCTTACAAATTGAGTCTTCGCTTAACGCATTGTGATGTAGAACAGAATAGGAGGGGTTCTGTTTCTGGGTAGGCCATGTAACTCTCAATTTGTAGAGCGGGTCGCATGCTGGAGCCAGAGGTCGAGCCTGTCCTGATCACTCTCTGTATCTTGGGGTCCAGAAGTCGTGCGTCGGTCCTGTCCTGCGTCTGTCTGCCACATGAGGTGCAAGCCACATAACAGGGCAAACCCAGGATGGGAGAAGGTGTGACTGCAGGAGCCGTCGGCCGCAATCAAGCTCTGACACACCTGACAAACACCAGGAATGTTGAAAGCAGACTGAACGACCACACTCAAGCTAGTTGCTGGCCCTTGAACCGCAGCTGCTCGATGGAATCTCAGAAGCCAGCCGTGCAGCACCACCTCTGTCATCTGATTGGTATGTTGCCATGTAAACAGGGGTCTGAGGCTGTATATGTCATTGCCATCATGACGAGGTCGCAGTTTCTCTGGCGCCGCCACCAAAGCTCAGCTCCGGTGTTGGGCAAAAGCTGATGGCACTCAAGATCCCAGGACGACCTGGAGTGCACGGGCTGGGAGCACTTCATCCTGACCCCAGAACGCCCGCCCATGGCCAGCGCACAGCAGCAGTGGCATGGCTGGAGCTTCGTCACACCCTACCCACTGCGCCTGGAGCAAGACTCCCCCATGCCAGGCCAGGTATTTGAGGACCTGTGATTGCTGCCCACCACCTGCACATGCGAGGTGCCATTGCAAGGTTGTTATTGAGATGCTGACGCTTTGTTTGTTGCTTACAAATTGAGTCTTCGCTTAACGCATTGTGATGTAGAACAGAATAGGAGGGATTCCGTTTCTGGGTTGGCCTTGTTACTCTCAATTTGTAGAGCGGGTCGCATGCTGGAGCCAGAGGTCGAGCCTGTCCTGATCACTCTCTGTATCTTGGGGTCCAGAAGTCGTGCATCGGTCCTGTCCTGCGTCTCTCTGCCACATGAGGTGCAAGCCAAAGGACGGGGCAAACCCAGGATAGGAGAAGGTGTGACTGCAGGAGTCGTCGGCCGCAATCAAGCACTGACACCCCTGACAAACACCAGGAATGATGAAAGCAGACTGAACGACCACACTCAAGCTAGTTGCTGGCCCTTGAACCGCAGCTGCTCGATGGAATCTCAGAAGCCAGCCGTGCAGCACCACCTCTGTCATCTGATTGGTATGTTGCCATGTAAACAGGGGTCTGAGGCTGTATATGTCATTGCCATCATGACGAGGTCGCAGTTTCTCTGGCGCCGCCACCAAAGCTCAGCTCCGGTGTTGGGCAAAAGCTGATGGCACTCAAGATGCCATCAGAAAAGTATTGGAGCGTCCACTTCATGACCGAGGTGGGGTGTATTGCTACCTATTGGTGAGAGAGGGGCAACTGAGATGCAAAGAGGGCATCCTTTTTTCTTCACCCCGGCCTGGCCCCCTGGAAAGGGTTGGACATCAGGATCTTTCTTCACTGCTTTTTACCCTGTGGACCGTTTTGGCAGCAAAGGTGCGGTGGAGGTTGATTTTGAAACCGTGACTGACCGTCTCCCACACCGAATCCACCTACACCTTCCCAACCTCTGGTATGGAGATCCAGCGACCTCGAGACCGCCGCCTGCACAACAAAATGCGGAAGGCCTTCGAGGCCTGCCGTCTCGCCAGGGCGTAGTGGCGAGAGACGGAGGAACAGTCACTCGCTCCATGTGGTCTGGAGTTCTTACAACCACCTCATCACCTACTGGCGCTCCGGGCGCGGCGTCTCGACCTCCATCGGCCACTGGCAGACCGCCGCTCATGGCGTCTGGATGACCCTATGGCGGCCCAAATGGCTCCCCTGCCGCGGTAACCCCTCTGCCCCCTAAGTTGAAAAAGCGAAGGCAACTGGCAAACACCACCATGCTGGGCTAGTCTAGGACGCCCCGAAAGACCTGGCAAGACGACAGCAGACAAGCAGTATTGGTGATTGGCATAAGGTCGGATGGGATCTTCTGCTCGTTCTGCCCGGAGGCTAGTGACTCTTGCATAGACAGAATGCAGTGAGTCTCTTGTATACTTGCCATTGAGGTTGGGAGGTGTCCCTACTGTGTCCCTGGCAGTGGTCAGCAATGTGTTGTTTACCAAGATGGTGTACCGCCCAACCCCATCTCGTTGCAACAACACGGCTCATCTCCCACCCGGCTCCACCTACTGCAGTCAATCCCGCCCTCTATGGGGAGCTGATATCCATACGATCGTCGGAAGGAAACCTGGCCGCCCGGCCATGTACACTGCGGGCGATGAGTACAGCAGTCGGACAGCATGCAGCACCGAGGCATTTCGTGCCCTGACGCAATACAGACAGCAGGCCACAACTATGGAGATTGCCATGCTGAGGCTCTGGTTCATGTGCAGGAGCTGCAAAAATTAGTGAGGCCAGAGTGTGGGGTGGATTCAGGATCATGAACGCCATTCCGTGGCCTGTCACTGCATCAACAACCCCAGATCTACATTCACATCAGTGTACCATTCCTTTCCATCCACCCTTTCATCTCCAATGCCCCAAATGCAACACAGAAAGCACAGAGGTGCTCCTTGAGCGTGTGGCCTGGTTCGACCCCCACCTGTGCAAGGGCCAGACGTGGAACCTGATGGGAGAGCCAGTCTGGCATGTGTGCTTCAAGGCCTCTGTCTGCCGGGAGTTCGCTATCAACAAGCTAGCGGAGCGGTTTGTGCAGACCCCTCTCTCAGCTCCACCCCCCCCCCCCCGCATGCGGGAAGGCAAGACAGCCATCATCAGCGCCAGCAACTGATTGGCGCATTGCCGGGGTTCTCATGCGGGGCCCTTTGCTGTGGCTCTGGCTGCGTTGCCCACGGCGCCTGCGGAGGGTGTGCAAGGTGGTTGTGGTGGATGAGCATGGGCCTGCGAAGCTGTGATGCGGCTGCTACACCGCCCCGCATGCCGTCCACTACAGCCGGGTGCGTCAGGGCGTGGAAGAGCTGTGGCTTTGGGGACAAATCGATGCACAGGGAGGGCCTGCAGGGGCTCTGTCTTCGAATGTGATGCGAATGGGGATTGATACGCTGGCGCTCACCAAGCTACGTTTGGCCGGCAGAGGGCACCCCACCACAGCTCTCGGTGGGCCACCGCCCTTGCCTCAGAGCACAAACCGTTTCTATCGAGTGGGTCGCCATCAAGGCAAACCATTGTACCGCACATGGAAGTTCATGTCTTTGAAGTGCCAAACCAGGCGGCGCAAGGTCGGCAGGGGTGTTTGCAGCACTGGAATGTGCAGATCGTTCTCAATGTGGCTAGTGAGATGGTTGCCCCCATGCGCGGCATGCCTCGCGGCCTGCTGTCCACAACTACCAGGACCGGAGCACCATGCAGTCCCCTTCCTGTGCTGCAGCTCGGAGAATTCCCCAAGCATGTTGTCATCCATCACACATGGCCCCTTCAGGAGGTGTTGAGCCTCCCCCATCCTCATCACAACCAGGGTGTCATAACTTGCAGACACCTTCAGCACGCGAGGGGGGGCCCAAGAAAGCAAGGGCAGACGGGCACCCGCAGGAAGCAGTCAGGGCTGCACCTCAAGACTACACGCCCATTCTCCATTTTCCCCACCACGTCAGACCAGCATGGCCCCCACACGGTGCAGGAAGAGGTCCGAGAGCGCGCGGCGCAGTTCCGGCGGCGCGCCCTCCGCGGCGATCAGCGCCACCAGGCGCGGGAAGAGGTCGTGCACATGCGCGCGGAAGGCGTCGTCGTCGAAGCCACGCAGGCTGGTCAGCGTGGCGGTGGCCAGCGGGGCCAGCGTGGCGCCCTCCTCCCCCGCCCCCGCCCCCTCGTACCGCTCCAGGTTGCGCAGGCACTGCGCCGCCAGGCGCGGCCGCAGGTCGCAGGCGGCGGCGGTGGCCGCCGACCCGCGCGCGCCCAGCGCGCCCAGCGCCGACAGGTGTGCGGTGGCGGCGGCGGCCTCCAGCCGCAGCAGGGGCGGGTCGGGGAGCGCGCGGTCCGGCGCCACGCCGTCGGCGGCCTGTGCCAGGGCCAGGCTGTGGCGCAGGCCCAGGTCCGCATCCACGCGCGCGGCGTGCCCGGCCGCGCCGGCCAGCAGGTCCAGGAGCGCGGCCGCCGCGGAGGGGGGCAGCGTCTCGGCGGCCGCCACGCAGGCCGCCTCGGCCGCCTGGACCAGGAGCAGGGCCACGCCGGCGTGCACGCTCGCCTCGGCCAGCCGCCGCGCGCCCGCGCCGCGCCCCAGCGACCACGCGGCGCCGTTGGCGGAGGCGGAGGCGGCGCTCGCCTCCGGAGGCGAGACGGCGCCGCCGGCCGCCCCGTCCTCGGCGCCCGCAGCCGGACCCGCGCCGACGCGCCCCTCCGCGTCGTCCTTCTTGAAGCGCGCGGAGCGGCGCTGCATCAGCCCCGCCACGTCCGGCAGCGTCTCGCGCGCCGCCTCGGCGTAGGCGTCCAGCAGCGCGCGCCAGCCGGGCTCGTCCAGCCGCGGCGCCAGGGCCAGGGTCAGGCGGGACAGCGCTGCCACGCCCACCGCCGCCAGCTCGGCGTGCGGGCGCGTGGCGAAGCCCAGCAGCAGGTGCAGGAGGCGGGCCAGCAGCGGCTCCACGCCCGCGTGGTACTGCGCCACCAGGTCGACGATGTACTGCAGCGTGCGCGTGCAGGTGGCGTACAGCCAGCGGTCCGCCTCCGCGCGCCGCCGCTCGTCGGTGAAGGTGGTGGTGTCGGTGATCTCGGCGCGCACCACGTCGAAGATGGGGAGCAGGACCGAGTCGAACACGCGCAGCCAGAAGGCGGGGGTGAAGGAGCCGCCGTGGAAGCGCAGCGTGTCGAACAGCACGTCCAGGGCACTGGTGCGGACCTGGGGTCGCGGGTCGAAGGTCAGCTCCGACAGGCCCGCCAGGAGGGGGAACCAGTAGTACATGTGCTGCTCCTTGTCCGTAAAGCGCAGCGAACCGACTGTGGCGCTGGTTGTGTGGTTGGACTGCGCCACGTCGCCGGGTGCGGTGGTCGACGCCTTCGACGCGCTCGTCGCCGCCGACAGACTCGTCGCCGCCGCCGCCGCCGCGCTCGTCACATCGCCGGCCGCGGCGTCGCCGCGGGGCCGGATGCGGAAGGCGGCGGAGGAGGTGCGGGCCACTGCGCCCTCCGGCAGCTTCTCCACGTCGCCGATGCCGCCGGCGGCCAGCTGCAGTGCGCAGAAGCGGAGGAAGGCGATGGAGTTCAGGGCCACGTCCAGAGAGTGGGGATTGTTGGTGTAGGCGATGAGGCAGTTGACGCAGTCGGTGAAGGTCGCGGCCTCTGTCTCTGTGAAGCGGAGAATGGAGGGGGAGGAGGTTTGGCGGGGGGGATGGAGCATCTGGCAGCCAGGGGTTTGGCTTGCTAGAGTCAGCGGGTAACACATGCTGCATCACATGGGAGGGGGACGCCACGCCGCACGCTCCACCACCCTCCCAAAACCTTCCGGCCCATCCACTGACCGGTGATGTAGTGAAAGTGCTCCCGCACGATCTTCTCCACGGTGTCAAAGGCCAGGCGCACGATCTGGGGGGACTCGTCCGCCGCGGCGGTGGTGAAGACCATGAAGACGCTCTTCCACCCCGACTTGACGTTGGCCACCCGGGCCAGCACCATCTGGGAGACGCACCTGCGAGGGGGGGTTGGCGCGGGGGGCGCATGCAGGTGTCGAGCTGGTGCCGAGTTTCACGGTGAACGGCGGTCACGCGGCAAGCTCCGGCCGCGGCTGGGGAGCTGAGCCCCGCAGCTCAGCACCCCGGGTCCCTGCCGACGGCTGTACCCCCCGACAGGCGCAACGGCCTGTGATCCCCTGCACTCCACCCCCTGCAGCGCTCGAGTCGTCGCACCACCCACCCAAACACCCGCTGGACCGCCCCGCGCCCCGGGCCCGCCCTGGGTCTCCATCGCATGAGCCTGCACCTCCCCTCCCCGACACCCACGCCCCGGCCCGGCCGCGCACCTGATGACCAGCTCGCGGATCTCCGGGGCCTTGGAGCGGCGCATGACGACGCAGAAGGGCCGCAGGAAGTCGGACTGGAAGGTGTAGTTGGCCAGCTCGTCGCGCTCCAGGAACTTGGTGGCCAGCTGGCGCAGGGAGTCCACGCCGTACATGGCCACCTGGAGGTTGGGGGCGCAGCCCACCTCCACGAAGAAGTCGGAGAGCACGGCCCAGATGCGGGCCCATACCAGGCGGATGCGGTCCATGTTGTGCGCCGCGATCTCCACGATCTTGGTGAGCGAGAAGACGCGGGGCGCGTCCACGGGGCGCAGCTCCTCACGGGCAATCGTGCAGAGCGTGGTCACAAACTCCACGATGGCGTCGCTGCGGGGTCGGGTCCGGGATGGAGTCGGTGCGGGTGCGGTGGATGGGGGATGGTGGGGGCACGACACAGGGGGCTGAGCATGGGCGCGGGATCGGCAGTGGGGGTGGCCAGGAGAGCGAGTGCCGGTCGTGCACGACGCAGGCACGTCCACTCCAGCCGCCGGGTGTGTACCAGCCGCCGGCTCTCATGATGACGGATCCCAGCCCATGTGAACCCCCCCCCCCTCTCCCTCCTGTCCAAGACAGCACCAGGTCCCAACCACCCCCGCCACCTGTTCAGGCGGCTGCTGTGCACGAAGATGCGGTCCAGATCGTCGGGGTCCACGCTGCGCATGACCTCCGCCGGGGGCAAGGCGTCGCGGCCCCCCCCGGGTACGCTGTGCAGGCCCATGTCGTTGATGGAGGAGCCGGGCTCGACGGAGACGCGGGGCGCAGGGGCGGCGCGCGCCCCACGCCGGCCGCCGCCGCGTCGCGCGCCCCCGGGCGCCGCGGGCGCGGCGAAGAGGAGCGCGTCGGAGGGCACGCCCGCGGTGGCGGTCTGCAGGAGCTCGAAGCGCGAGACGCAGCGCAGGGCGTCCTGCCAGCACGGCCCCAGGCGAAGAGGAGCGCGTCGGAGGGCACGCCCGCGGTGGCGGTCTGCAGGAGCTCGAAGCGCGAGACGCAGCGCAGGACGTCCTGCCAGCACGGCCCCAGCGCGTCGCCGTTGTGCTCGGCGACGACCAGCAGCGCGCGGAAGGCCTGTGCGTGCTTCAGGCGCAGCGCCCCCGGGCTGTGCAGCATGGTGAAGCGGGCCAGGGAGGCGACGAAGGCGTCGCGCAGCGTGGCCGCGCCCAGCGCGCAGGCCAGCCCCGAGGCGGCCACCAGGCCCGCCAGGCACAGCACCACCCAGCGCGGGTCCTCCGACTCCTCGAACACCGTGCTGAGCGCGCCCAGGAGCGGCGCCCAGGCCACGGCCAGCGCGCCGGCCACCGCCGCGGGGTCGTGCGTCTCGTGGAAGGTGGCGCCCGCCGCCCGTGCGCGCAGCGCGTCGTGCCACCGCGCCAGCGCCTCGTCGGAGGGCTCCAGGGCCGCGGCGCGCTGCCGCCCCGGCAGCAGCGCCGCCAGCGAGTCCAGCCAGCCGGCGGGCGGCGCGGCGGGCGCGCGCGCGCCCGCCACCCCGGTCCCTGCGCCCACCTCGTCCTTGAGCCGGATCTCGCGCGTCACGATGGCATCGTACAGTCCCGACATGAAGGCCTCGGGCAGGTCGCCGCCGTCGTTGATGCCACGGTTGTTGCGCAGGAAGTCGGCGCGCGTCATCTTCACCTTGACCCCCGGGTTGTGCGCGTCGGTGTTCAGCATGATCACCGAGTAGGCCAGCACGTAGGCCACGTCCGCGGAGCGGAAGGAGTCGGGGTTGCACAGCACGTACCGTTCCGCAAACTTCTCCATCAGGCGGTCGATCTTCTGCGCCTCGCCGGGCAGCCGGAACCCGTCCAGGAACTTCCTGCGGGTAGGGTTTTTTTTTAGGGGGGGGGGAGGGGTGGGGGGGGCGGGGGTTGAGGGGAGAAGGAATGGGGGACATGCGAGTGGGCTGTGTCAGGGAGGGAGCGCCAGGCTTGTACGTGAATCGGCAGGGTCTACTCAACGGCACGTGTCGGACGCATGCGGCACTCACCCGCAAGACGAGCCTTCTCCACCTTCCACCACACCCCCTCCCCTCAAGACATCCCCGCGCTCCACTCCCACCTGATGGCCATGTCAAATTCCAGGCCGGCAAAGTCCAGCGCATCCACGTAGGCGTGCATGACTTTGAGGTTGAAGGGGTCGCGCTCCCCCAGGTAGTCCCCCACCTGCGCCTTGCTCAGGCTCAGGGTCTTGGCCAGGAACTGGGCGACGTCGTCGGGGTCCGGCCCCACCAGCCCCTGCTCCTGCATGAAGGCCACGCCCTTGGCGGGCTTGGCGTTGAACAGCTCCACGCCCTCCTGGAACACCCGCTTGAACGCCTTCCACCCCTCCAGCGTCGACCCCGTCAGCTGCGGCCCCGCGGCGGCGCCTGCCGAGGAGGACGTCGCCGC